GCTGAATATGTAACGTTTACAGAAGGAAGGAAACATTTCTCACACATTAAACAGCACACTCCGTTTCATCCGCTATTTTTAGATGCATTTCGTCCGTAGAACACTGTTGTAATGTGACGTGACTGACGGAAGTTTTCCGTGCACGGTGAGCAGACACGACTAATCGATAATCACATTCGTTGTGGATTATTTTCTTTATGGATTAGTTGTTGCAGCCCTAGTCTCCACTGACCTTGGTGATGTGTGTGGTGCTGCTGTTGTTCTCTGATGTGATGGTCTGAGCGCTCATGAGGACGCCTGGATCTGAGTCGCCGCTGGCTTCGATCTATAAACACACACACAGATGCATTACAAACACGCCGGCACACTGGAAACGGCATGAGACAGAGTTGAGAGCGCTTCACCTCTGCAGACTCGTACGTGATGGTCTCGGTCTCGGTGTGAACCACAGGAACATCTTTAAGCGCTTCCTCCGACTGCTGATTCACAAACACAGAAAATCACTGGAAGAGTTAATTTGCCAAAACCGATAACTTTTTTTTTTTCTCCCAGAAATCACGTTTTTTTATTTTTTATTGCGCATTCCAAGTAATATCAATCAAACTGCAGTTGGGTTGTTTTGATTAAGTAATAATAACTTAAACAAATACAGGTAATTTACAAAATTAAAGTTCATTGAATGTGAACATATTAAAAAGATGATAACGTAGACGCCTGACAAACGTTGTTGTTGTTGTGATCATAAACTGTATGGATGTGATTACACGCAATACACGGAGCTTTTCCCTCAGTATTGTAACGCGCTGCTTTTGCAAGCTTCCGCGAAAACGTTTCAGCTTTTATTTTCCTTTTTCGCCCTGAAGAAGATATCACCGGTTCATCAAGTTTGTCGAAATTTCGTCGTTTTTTTAAGTGGCGTTTATCGATTTTTGCAAATGAAACACTCGGGAAGTGCTTGAATAACCTACACCACAGATCATCGCTTTCATGATGGCATATTGATATTTCAGTTCATTATAAAGACAACTACTAGCAAACACTAAACTCTTTATATTTCAACAAGAAACTGCAGTTGCAACCCATTAGACTTCTGTAATCTGACGCATTTCAGAAAATTCAACAGGAAAAAGACAAAACAGACAGATTTTTTTTGCATGCAGCATCATGCATTTATATGATGCATGTGAAGTTCAATTAAAAGCTGGGATTTAAAAGGCAATTAATATTCAGTAATATTATGAATTTATCTGCACTGACACTATCAGATGAGAACAAAACGTGAACTCTACTGTCTTCTGTAGATCGTTTTAGAGCTGAAATTGAAATTAACAGTTATTTTCCGGTTTATTAATGTAAATCTGCTTCGAAACAATCTGTATTGTATAAAGCACTATAGAACTATAGGTGACTTGACAATCGGTTTCTCATTCGACCCTTTGTCGAAGCCAAAATCAGGCTAAACATCCTCAACAAATGGAAACGTCCAACTGCTCATGAATAAATTCATCCAGACATGCAGATGTGAAGAATAGAGTGTGTTAAGCAACATCTGTGATCATGCAGCGTTCAGATGAAGACGTGTAATTAATCAGTGACTGATCAAACACTTCCAATCGTGAAGCAAGAAGAGAGAGAGCGTTTCCATCATTAGTGTTATTCCATCACACACGGTGACCCCAGTGCACACTGGGATTGGTTACCTCCATATGAGGTGCTGTAGAAGCACTATGCTTTATTTCCTGTGCAACTTCCTTTTCCTGGTTTGGTCCAGGATCCAGTTCATGCACGTTTGTCTCCATAAGGTCTGATGTTTGAAACCTTGGCTGCTCGCTCAAATGGGAACATGAGGAAGCTTCTTCATCTTTATCGTTGATCATCATCTCTTGAGGTTGGTCTTCCATCTGGTTCTGTGCAGTTGATGATACAGACTTCATATAAAGTGGAAATTCTCCGTAAGGTTGGACGTTGATGGATTCATCCGCAGGTTCCTCTTGATTGAAGAACAAGAGCTGAGAAAGTTCAAACGAGTCTGAAAACACTTGTTCTTGATCAAAACTCTCAATGTTGTTGTTGTGGAACGACACCAACATTTCATTCTCCAGCTCTTGGGTTTCATAGGTGGTTTCTTCCATTGCAGGCTCCTTGTTTTTATCTTCAAACTCACTAATTTGGTGGTTCTGATCCCAGATTTGGAGAATGTTCTCATCTTGGTTTCCAGCAGGAATCTCTTGGGTTTCTGAGTTGGTTTCTTCTCCTTTAGATGGACTTTCCATTGAAGTTTCCTTGATTTCATCTTCAACCTCAATATTTTGGTGTTTCTGATTCAAGATTTGGAGCACGTCTTCATCCATGGTGTCTTCTTCATGGCACATCACTTCTTGATTTCCAGTAGGAATCTCTTGGGTTTCATAGATGGTTTCTTCCAATGCAGGCTCCTTGTTTTTATCTTCAACCTCAATATTTTGGGGTTTCTGATCCCAGATTTGGAGCAGGTCTTCATCTTCTTGGTTTGCAGCAGGAATCTCTTGGGTTTGTGAGCTGGCTTCTTCTTCAGTTGGCGTTTCCTTGATTTCATCTTCAACCTCAATATTTTGGTGTTTCTGATGGCAGATTTGGAGCACGTCTTCATCCATGGCATCCTCTCCGTGGCATATGCCTTTGTGGTTTCCAGC